AGGACCTTAGGCCCTAAAATGAAGAAGCTGAATCCATTTAAAAAATGGCAGGAGAAGAAGAAGAAGAAGGAGAAGGAGAAGTAAGGTTTGATAGGCTATATGATAATAGCGGTAATAAATGGAGATAATAAAGTAAAATATCATATATCAAAGATATTTTTTTTGTGTTTGGGGTCTAAAAGTCGAAGAGAAATCTGGCTCAGCACAGGCTGGTTCACGATGGTCCTGGCTACAGAGATGTGTGACCGGATCAAAGTGTACGGCATGAGCAACGGAGACAACTGCAGGTAAAGTGGTTTTTTACTTCAGCATGAAAGTTCATCTGAGTTGGTAAATTACATTATGAAAAACTTAAACTGTTTTCCAACTCAAAATTTGACTCACCAGAAATTTTCGACTGAATCACTCAGTCTTCCTCAGCTATCTGACCCAAATGTTGTGGACACGTGATTTTTCCCACGTGTGACGTCAGCAAAGGTTAAAGGTTGTCTGAAGTCGATATCGCCCCCCGTCCCGGTTGAGCGATGGTTGAAGTGCCCTGATGTATATGGCCTCTTTTATGCATGCCTCTCTTGAAGTAATCCTGTTCGGTATCCAAGATTCTGACCCCCATGATTTTCTACTTGTCTTTGATGTTATTTGATTACTTGTTTTTATCACAGTCGAACCTGTGCTAGTGACCACCACTACATACAGGGTTGCCAGAGTATACACTGCAATTTTACGGAATACAGTAAAATGGTATTAGTATAAAGTGCAATTTTACGGAATACAGTATTAGTATACAGCACTGCATTTACTAGTAAAATGCACTGTATACTAATAGGATTGCACTGTATTCCGTAAAATTGCACTGAATACTAATACGATTGCACTTTATTCTGCACAATTGCACTGTAGACTAATACGATTGCACTGTATTCAATAAAATTGCACTGTATTCCGTAAAATTGCATTGTAGTCCATAAAATTGCACTGTATACTCTGGCACCCCTGACATAAGGACCACCTAGCCAATGATATGCACAGTCAAACATGTACTAGTGACTGGGTCAAAGGTATCTGGTAGACGATCTGGTAGTCCGTCCCGGACTGCCAGATACTTTTACTCAGTGTTGACGTCACATTAAATTCAAAGAAGCCACGTGACAAGTCTCACTGGGTCAGTCTATTGAGGAAGACCAGAGTGACTGGTCGAAAGCTCTAGGTCATAGGTGAGAGAATTTTTGTATCGGACCAAATAATATTTTAACTTTAAACATGTAACTGCCAACACATATGAACTTCATGGCAGGTGAGAGATATTACTGGTTGTGTGAAAAAAAAAACAACAACCAATATCCTACGTTGCACCAACCCGATGAAATAATTTTCTGAAAATGTTTTTTTTTCGTTAACCAGATGTTGTTTGTGCTAATTACAGGGACCCGAATGCTTACCCGGCGGTGTACCATTATTACGACAAAGGCCGCGGGAAAGAATGCGATGAATACAACAGGATGGAAAAATTAAAGAAACAGACACATCGCTTCTTCGCAGAGAAAAAGGTCTTCGGAAGATGGTCAAAATACAACAACATCACATTTCACTTCCCCACATGGACACCTAAAGAATGACTTGACTCATATGATCATGGAACTAAGAAAGATCTAGTAAATTTAATGTTGAGCATAAAATGCCCCCAACACCTCAAAACACACCGAACAAGACTGGCAATGAAAACATACATTGCCATGGCGACGGTGGTTGCTGTTAGGGTTATTGTTTGCATGGCACTGCCATCATTCCATTATTTTGAGGAAGACTTGGTACAGATACAGTGCACTCCTCCCCTGAGTGTATAGTGAACGAGCCCCGGGGCACAGAAAGTTGGGGCAGACAGGTCTTCAGGGTTCCAGGAATGTGGGCATAGATGTGGGTCAGAGACATGCCTGTGGACATTCCATTCCTGTGGACAAAATGCCTGTACCATTCCTAGAATTCTTGCAAACTGCACACAATACTAGTACCATTAGGCTCCTCCCTGAGACGTCGCCAAAAACAAGTTGTTGAACAACAGGATGCCTTCCTGCGCTATGCAAATGAGATTTACCCCCCAAGATTCGCAATGCATTCTGGGGATGGGAAACTAGTGAATGATCGTCATTTTTATATAATTAACTCCAGAGTCCATAAAATGATGATGTCATGTCGACGTTTCTAGTATATTCTTGCCGTCTCATCATGCTAAACAAATATCGAACAAATTGTTACAAGCAAGTAACGTTAAGGCCACACCAAGTAAATTTTATAGATGACGTCCTTTGGAGACCCTAAATCTAATGCGAGAGGGCGAAAAAAAAAACAAGAAAGGCCCTGAGAAACAAGATGCCTAGATTAGAAATATACTAAGAGACGACAAATGTTAGGACACAAATTGAAAGAGGTGACACAGTGTAACAAGCAAGAAGTCTTATTCATCATCAAAACAGCAATAAATCAGGTGGAACAGCAGTTGTCGTCTTGTGCTTTGGGGAGATAGATGGAGCGGTCAGCAAGTTTCTTCAAATGTGGCAGCATGTACCAAACTGAATTCCTTATTGAAGTCATTATTTCCTTGCTTGATGCTTCATAAGCTTTGGACCTTTGGTCCGTACAAACCTATTTTCGGCACTGTCGTGACTCTTTGGTCATAGTTACAGGAAGCGGAATTTCTTGTTTTTTTTCTAGGCCAAACAGGCCAAAATCAACGCGCGCGCGGACGTCATCCATAAAATTTACTTGGTGTGGCCTAAACAAATATCGAATTGCGAACAAATTGTTACAAGCAAGTAACAGTGACACTTAAGACATGACAGAAATGTTACAACTTCTCGAACATTCGACAGGTTTGTCAGAACCACGGGAAATCATTCCTAGCTTGATTGAGACTATTAAAAAATCTATAAACACTTCTTTCCAGTATGACTCGGGTATAGGATATTTCTAGCATGTTCCAACATTGTAGAACAAGTTAACAATCATCAAACAAACATCAGATAGACCTGACGTTAACACATTCACGTTACAAATTTAGACGTTTAGGCCACAGCAAGTAATTTTTATGGATGACATCCACGCGCGCATTAATTTTCGCCTGATTTTGAAAAAAAAAAAACAAGAAATTTTGTTGCCCTCTGACAGTGGTCAACATGCCGAAAATGGGCAAAGATGTCTGTTGCCATGCCGGGAGGCAGATAACTGAAGAGAGGAGACAAGAAAAGGCTCTGATTTAATATTTTGTTTCTTACTTTGATGCAGTGATATGTGATGTTCGCATTGAATAAAAACCATTTGTACATGATTGAGTCAACATTTTGAAATGTAGGAACCTTGTTTTTTTCCGCCCGCCTTGTTTTTTTTCGCCCGCTCGCATTAGATTTGGAGTCGGCGGAGGATGTCATCCATAAAATTTACTTGCTGTGGCCTTAGTTGACAAACTTTGCAACAATTTTACAGACTTCTCCCCTCCTGGAATATTTACTCTCCAGGCCTCTATTTGGGCGTTTTTAGCCTTCTTTTTAAACTTTTTTAAAACTTAAGCCTTCTTTAATAGACGTTTTGTAGAGCTTTCTATTCTTTATCAGATCCTAGCATAACCAAAGAGAAGTCGACAAAATAGAAAAAGCCTGACAAAACGCCTAAAAAGATTCCCTCAAAAAAATTATTAACCTCTGCTTGGAGAGTATGGAATATAATCATTTCTGTAGCTGGCCCGATGTATTAAAGGTCTAGTTAAATCCACACATGACTCATACAGTAGACGTTTCTCGTATATTCCTGGCCTTATTGCGTGAGATACCATCAATGGGCCGGGCGTAGGGTGTACAACTGTACGTGCTAGCCTCCTTCGCAGTCTTGCTGGGCGTCGGCGTTATTTTTTTCTGTGAGCGACGCCAGTAATATGCGGCCGCGAGGGACGATTTGCTGCCGAGGAAGTTTTTGCCACGGAGAGAAGGATTGTTGGAGCGCGAATCCTTCTCTCCGCGGCAAAAACTCGGCAGCAAACCTTCCCTCCGGCCGCATATTACTCGCGTCGCTCACAGAAAAAAATACCGCCGACACCCAACAAGTCTGCGATGAAGGCTATGTACGTGCGGCTTTGCTCGGAACTCCGAGAACGTTCAAAATGGGGGTGGGGTCAGGGGGTATAAAACCCGATATGGTCGGCCGCTGTCTGCTCACACCCGGGTAAGATTTCATCCCTGTCGCCTAGGCTAGTGCACTGAGCTCCATCTTTGTTGTGAGGACTCGGAGGTGGTTTTTGTCTTCGAAAATGGCAGGAAAAGACGAAAGAACGATCCCCCTGTCCTTCTCGTCCTTCGGGGGATTTTCTGAGGAGTGGAGGCGGAGGATGTCGGAGCATCATCGCGCCATGTTAGAGCGGCTGGAGCGCCCGTTCGGCGGTTTCCCAATGTCAGACGACTATGAGAGAATGTTCGCTAGCCCGGCTATCCCCTGGTGGCCGGGATACGGCCAGCCGCCGCCCGGGCTCGCCATCTGCCCCCCGGGACCCACCAGCCCCACCCCCGGGATGCACATCCAGCCGTTCTCCTTCCCGGGGGTGCCGCCCAGTCCGGACTCCCGTCTGGAGGTGGACGATAAGAAGTTCAAGGTTATGGTGGACGTGAACCAGTTCTCTCCCGAGGAAGTCAAGGTGAAGACCGTAGGGAACTACGTGGTGGTGCACGCCAGGCACGAGGAGAAACAGGACGAGCACGGATTCATCCAGCGGGAGTTCACCAGGAAATACCTGCTGCCGGAGGGAGTGGACCCCGAGAAGGTAACGTAGAGGATTAAATTTTTTTTGCGGTGGTTTTATCTTGGCGGTGGCCCGTTTCAATGAAATCATAACATCGGGAACATAACTCAGGTACTTCTATAGCCGCGGCGACAGTTGCAGGGCTTCTCTTGCTTGTAGTCTTTTACGTTTGGGCTTAAGACTGCAAGCAAGAGAAGCCCTGCAACAGTCGCCGCAGCTAGTACTTCTACATGTTGTTGTTGTTGTCCTTGTTTAACGTCTAATATATCGCTAGACGTTGTCACTTGGTGCTCGTTGTCGCGTGGTTCAGTTCAGAGTCAAAAAGTCTAGGTATTTAACTCTTGGTGCCTATTAACTCTTGTTTCAATTAATTGTGAACTTCAAACACCACAAAAAAACTCATTTTCTCTCTGCCAAGTATTCTCTTGGCAGACGTTAGCTAGGCTTGTTTTGGACGTCCAACACACCCTAACATCTGCTTGGAGAGTTAGGATAACATGTTTGTAGATATGGTAGAGAGATTTTGTACGAAATCTGCAAACAGAGAACTACAAACTTTTCTTCCTTTGGATGCATCTTTGTTTATTAGGATTGTCCATAAAAGTTCATGAGTGGTTGTGTGGAGTCAGAGGAATTCTAAGTACTATTGGTGGTAATGTAATGTTAGACAAACTTGAAATTTGGCCTCATACCGCCCCTCCCCATCCCTCATATTGATATGTGTAAGAAACAACTAATTTCAAGTGAGTGATTGTTTAAATCGCCTCCAAGTATAGAGGTTTAGTTTTTGTTGTGTCTGTTTGTTTGCTTGTAACGTTATGTTCATAATCAGTTGAATAAAAGAAGCGAAGGGGAGAGTTTGTAACCATAGACTGACAGGAAGGTCAAATTGGAGGTCAAAATGGTCTCACTGCAGGCTGGGAGGAATTTACAGTATATAATGCAGTGAGGAATTCATAAATATGAATAAAGCCATTCACAACACCACTAAATACCCAACAGAGCTGTCATAAAGGCCCTGTTCATATGAAGTCAGTGAAGGCGCTTTACATGTGGTTTCCCCCCGAAGCCGGTTTCAAGTGGCTCCATCTGAATGCTCCAAATCACATTGAAAGCGCCTCGACCCCGAACCACTTTTAGAGGTGGTTTCGAATCGGTTCATTGTGATTTGCGTCTGAACGCAATGTGATTTCAACGTGACTTCACCTGGTCATGGATTACGCGGTGATATTTCTTTATTTATAATACGTGGCAGCAACTTAAAGAGCAGTAATGGTCAAATAATATGTCCGTTCTAGTACGAGCTTCACCGCCTCTGGCGGGACTACGTTGGCATTTGGCTGAGGTACGCTGGAAGGGGGGGCACCAGCAAACAGGTCGTTGACCTCGTCTGACATTAATAACATGCTACCTAGCGTGTTTTCATCAAACAACATAATGAATGCAGTTTCGCAGAATCGTGATCGGGCACGGTTTGCAAGAAATGTATGGCACGTGGACCAGATGTGAGGAATGCGAGTTACCCGCATCGCGGTTCGGGTGGTTTCATATGAACAAGGCCAAAATCTTTGGTCTGTTGAAAACTAATCAGACACCTATTGACATCTTCCCCACCCAGGTGACGTCGTCCCTGGCCACAGACGGAGTGTTGACGGTGGAGGCGCCCACACAGAAGGCCCTGGAGCCGGCCGGCCCGGAGAGAACCGTCCCCATCCAGAAACAAGACAAGCCAGCCGTGGAGGGGAAGAAGTAAACCATGTACTAGTAACTTGAGTCACCATTATCACTTGTCTGTTTAGGCTTAAAACTTTTGTTCCAGCACAACACTTGACACTGTAAGGATTTCGGACACTGAACAAGACTATTTCTTGAGAGGGTGAAGGAAGCTATATACACAAGGGCCCATCACCCTTCATTGAACCGTGACGGGGGCTGACATCGTCTACCAGATACCTTTGACCCAGTGTTGACGTCACACTTCAAAGAAGCCACTTGACAATCTTCACTGGGTCAGTCTACTGAGGAAGACCAGAGTGACTGGTTGAAAGCTCTAGGTGAGAGAATTTTTGTGTTGGACCAAAAGTTTTAACTTTAAACATGTAACTCCAACACAGATGAACTTTCATGATAGTATTATCACTTGTCGTTTAACCTTCTACTCGCTGTGTTACCAATACCCATTTCGGTGCAAAATGGCTACCTGAAGGTGGTTCGTTTATCTTTGAATTTTTAAAGAAAGAAGTTATCGTATTCTAGTAATGTTAGATCTAATGTTAAAAGAAAACCGTTACGTTACAATCTAGGTGGGCAACATCTAACTGGTAATACATTTCTGTTGAACATTCTTAGTTTTATGTATACCGGTTCCTAATGTTAGTCATGCCTAGGACAATGGTGCTATATACTTTGTTCTGTATAAGATGCTGAGTTCGTATTGGATGAAGCCATGGTGAATAAAGTAGCAAACTAAAGACATACATGTGTGTGTGTGTGTGTCTATCCAAAATTTTCCAGTACAGCTGATGATTCTAATTTCTCCTTCGAGCCAAATTTGCCTACAGTCTATGCTCTACTGTCTGATTTAGAACGTTTCCCCCCTTTCCCGTGTCTGACCTTTTGATTTGTCATTCTCGCTTTGAATCTTCCTCCTTAGGCCATGTTGATTTGATTATATGGATGACATCCTCTGGAAACCCCAAAATTGATGCTAGTGTGCGAATAAAAAAAAGTTTGGCCAAAAAAAGTTGCTTTCATTATGAAATCTACGTGGTTTTGAAGGTTGAACAAATGACACTGAGTATGGTTTGGTGAATATCTAGTCTTCAAATTAATTTCTTTACATTTTCGTCTTCTTGGTTTGATTTTGACATTCTACGACATTGGTATCGTCTTCTAATGTTTTTTTTTCAAACTATGGCATATATTTGCTCATTTTGAACTGTTTTGTACCAGTTACAGTATGGTTGAAAACTTTTTTTTGGAAACGACCGAAAATTCATGCACGCGAGGATGCCATCCATATAATCACATCAACATGGCCTTATGTGCGGTATAACTCTGAGAGAAGACTTTAATGACCAAATGAAAGGCGATTTTGAGATGCTCCCATTCTAATATTGGTCAAAAAAGCAGTTGCGCTATTCTGACAAACCTTTTAGAATCATACAACTGAATACAATAGTGTACATTGCAATGACTATTCCAATGTAGTTATATTTATACATTGCAGGATAGTGGTCATGTATAATAACATAATATACAATATTTAGCAACAATGCCTCCATATCCAGAAAATAAACGAAAAACATTTTTGCGCATGCACGCAATGCATTAAAAATCAAGCTAAAGCATCATCAATTTAGCTATTCTTAGAAGTAATAATTGAAACCTTTAAGTACATATCAATAATTAAAACACTAGCCTGGTTAAAGCATATACAAATTCGGACTATCAAGAAAGATTTGTTATAATCACATTGTTAACATAAACAAGGTGTGGCTTCGTATTATACAATATTTGAATAATAATAATGCACAATGGTGGAAAACAAAAAAGTTTTGAAAAAAATTCAAGCATGGCCAAGTATGGCACAATCGTAATAAAAAAATGAAATTATTCATTGACAAACAGTTATTATAATGCTGTGCGCTTATCCATGCTCCAAATATGTATCAGTTAATGCAGAATGGTCAGCAAGGGTTTTCACTGTTCTTATAAAAAAATTGTAATATTTGGACTATATTATAAAATTTTATTCTGCTCACTCATGAACATCGCTCTGCTGAACATTATCATTATCCATTTTTTTGTCTGTTGTTCTATACAAAAAATTTTATACCAAAGAAAATAAAATGAGTTCAGTTTACAGTCAGTACTGTTGTTCCCACACTATAACAGAGTACCATAACGTCTCTCTTCTTACAACATTTTGAGGTAGAACAGCACCTAGAAAATGTCTCTAAGGCCACAGCAAGTAAATTTTATGGATGACATCCTCCACAGACTCCAAATCTAATGCGAGCAGGCAAAAAAAAAACAAGGTGGGTAAAAAAAAAAGATTCCTACAATTTAAAATTTTGACTCAATCATTGTACAAATGGTTTTGATTCAGTGGGAACATCACATATACACAGCCAGCATCACATATCACTGCATCAAAGTAAGAAACAAAACATTAAATCAGAGCCTTTTCTTGTCTTTTCTCTTCATAGTTATCTGCCATCCACCTTCCAGCATGGCAACAGACATCTTTGCCCATTTTCGGCATGTTGACCACTGTCAAAAGGCAACAAAATTTCTTTTTTTTCCCACAAGCTAGCGAAAATTAATGGGCGCGCTGATGTCATCCATAAAAACTACTTGCTGTGGCCTAAAGTACATACAGGATTTTAGAACATTAGAACTTTTTGACTGCCATTCTAAACTCTTTCATAAAGCTATCACCTACAAAAACCTCCATTTCAGAGAATATCTGTTCAAACATAAAACAAGATGGCTCTTAAAGCCTTTCACTGAAAATATGTATCAGAACACATATAATTTTCATGGCTTGTATAGTCAAGAAAAATAACATGGACATGTACATGTACATAGCTCATACAGACACTACCAAGCATCAACACTTTTTTGACAACTGATATGTCATGAATTTGGTACTATCAATGACAACATGTTGGGTACTACATTGTATGTATCCAACTACAATAAGTTCTTCACTGTGCTAAGACTGGCTTTTTTTAATCAACCCATAACACTACATACTAGGAACAGTATGGCAGCACATTTGTATAGACCAATTCCAAAGCTCTGCCCAACTTGTTAAAAACATAGACATGCAGCCACTCTCTCATTGGTCAAATCACTAATTACCACCTTCTCATTGGTTGAACTGCTAATGTGATTCACTAGTCAGGATTGGTCTATTGTTCATGGAGGTGTTACAAAAATGCGTCAATTTTTTGTCATGGCACACTCAGGTCTAACTTACTAAAAAATAAGTATAGGAACTTCTAACATGTGAATGTACCTCTATAAACATATGTGCACCAAACAGATAGATTTTACACAAAAGCGCATCAACTTACATACTTACATGTTCAGACATTACAATATTGCCACAGTATAAAATACTCTTTAGCAACACTATACACGTAAATAAATGTCTTTGGTTATAAAGAACAGTTAATGTATTTGTCAGTACATGTACACAGTAGTAAGAGTATAACTCAGCAAGGATAAACTTGAGTAATTTCTTTCATTAATAAATATACGTAATTTCACAAGTAAATATTTTCAGAAGGCTGGAAAAATAAAATTACAAAACCTCAAATCAACATAGTTAAGAACAAAATACTGCACAGTATTTTTTGGCATTTTTGTCTAGTTACCTCCATGAAATATTATGGATGTTATATTTTTTGAGCTTTAAAATTAATAGAAAAAAATGTTATTTCACTTTGCAGGTTTTGATGCATCGATACAAATGCTTAGCTTTTCACGCACACACTTGTATTTGTATGTCCCGATTGCATCCAATATTACAAACATTTCATCCTTTTGACAGTCACAACAATTAGCTCTTCTGATTCATGGTTAGAGAGATTTACCTCCGTAAATTACATTCAATATGTATGGAGGTAATGTTTTGGGTGGTGTTGTCTACGGGTTTGTGTGCACGTTTGCCTGCAGCAAAGACAGTTGCAGGGAGAGGATTGACAAGAAGGTCAAGCCTAAAGGTGGCTCAGCATGTGCCTGGTGCCAGGAATTGGGTAGTATGTGGAGGAATTCAGTAAGTGGTGGACTGTGTGTAATACCTGAACGAATTACGTCATACAATCCCCTCCACAGTTCCAATGCATTATTCCAAAACACTTTTCTGTGGTCTGAAATCTGCTAATGAACATAAAGTCAGTGGCAACTGATACATTTTTCCTAACCACATGTAGGAAACATCTACAAGAAGCAGAGGTTGGTGGGGATGATCGTAACCTTTCTATATATGCCCCGGGGTTAGCGAGAGAAAAACAGGACACATAGAAAGGTAACGATCTCCCCAAAACCACCCTCTGCTTGGAGTAGTGATGCATACCTAAACTCAATTTTAGGTTCAGGTCCGGATTCAAGTCCAGAGGTTTAGGTTCAGTTCCGGACTTGTACATGTAACTCCGGACCTAAACCCATGACGTGTACAAAATTGCATGTTGGCAACCTTGCAATGTTGTCTGGGTGATACTTTGGCCACATAACATGGAGGCCAGTACTTGACGATGCCTGATAGCACTGTTTTCTTCATTTTGCAGCAAAGATTTTGCAATGTACGGAAAGTTTTAGGTGGTTCGGAAAGAAAAGGGGTATGTGAAATAGTCTTTTATGGTAATAAGTCCAGACTCGGTTCTTGACTTTTAGGTTTTTTTGAACTTGAACCTTAACATTCTTACAAGTCCGGATCCAAGTCTAGTGAACCGGTATGCATCACTAGCTTGGAGAGTAGGTCCAACAAGGTGTCACCAAAAAAGCAATTCCCTAGGGAATGCATTGGTGGAATATTTCGATTATTTCCAACCAATTGCAGTACTATATAAATGGCTCCGCCCCTGAGGCGTCGCCAAAACTGATAGATCTATATGGTGGACACTTGGTCCACCACGAGGAGATTCTCGTCCTCCATCTGTCGCCGTTTCTTCACGGTCTGCGGCCCGTTCTCCTGATACTGCCGGTCCAGCCACTTACAGTGGAAGTACAGGTACACAGGGTGGATGACGGTCAGTGCTGTCAGCACCAATAGGATGATGTTTACCTGAGGGGAGGGATTTACAAGTCACTGTTACACCTCATCTTTGTGTTCTCACTTCTGATTGGTCCATTGAAGTTTAGATCTAACTTGACGGTGAATATATCTCTATTAGGCCACACCAATTTAATTTGTTGTCGGATTTGCCTCTTCAATTTCTGATTTGCAAAAAATAAAAAAAATAATAATGATAATAAAAAATCTGGATCTGCATCAACTCAAAAATGCTCGTTTTGCCCTGAGTTGAGGAAAGTCCTTTTCTTCCTACTTGTTACAGTTTTTCCATCTATCAATGCAGTGGTTTGATTAAAAGTTCAAAATTCATTGTTTAAATATTAACTTCATGGCTTCTATCGCAGTATTTCAGGCTATAAGAGGATGCCTAGACCAGTTTTTTTTTTCACCCTGTTGCTTCATACTTTTTCTGAAAATATCCGACAACCAACAAATTAAATTGGTGTGGCCTTAGTAACTATAAACAAATGTGCACAAATGGGATAGACTGATTGCTGTTAACAACACTAGGATGGTGTCTACCTGGGTTCAAAGTTAATCAGTTAATGGAATTTGTGCACCCTATTGTATAGTCTTACCACCCCCATCACACCATAATTATGCGTGACCTTCAAAGTGACCCTACACCATTTTCACCACAAGAACCTTACTGAAGTGAAATCCAAAAAGAACATGGGGTACTGCAGCATGAGAATGACTCCTCCAACACCATAGTTGGACCCTAACATCTTCCCAAAGTGTCGTGGAGGGTAGCTGGAGAAAAAAGATGTTTATGGAAAAAGGGAGGGGGGCTACGGCATTCCGAAACTGTACAGGTACTGAAATGATACATATAAACTCTGGTCTTCCTAGCTAGCTATTTAGTACCACAATTTTCCTGCGTTATACAGTCAAACCTGCACAAGAAGACCACTTGATTAGGGGACCAATAAAATCTGGCCTATGTGAACAGGTGGTCATTATAGACAGTATTTTAAATGCCTGTTTCAATGGGATAAATAGACCAATCCAAACTGTCCATCACAATTAGTAGTTCAACCAATGGAATGCAAATGGTGGTTCAACCAATGGGAGAATATCAATTAGCAGTTCAACCAATGGGTGGATGGTAAATAGTGGTTCAACCAATGAGAGAATAGCAATTAGCAGTTCAACCATTGTGTGGATGCAAATAGTGGTTCAACCAATGAGAGAATAGCAATTAGCAGTTCAACCAATGGGTGGATGGCAAATAGTGGTTCAACCAATGAGAGAATAGCAATTAGTAGTTCAACCAATGAGAGAGCATGTCTGTAAAATATCTTCATTTTCATGTTTTTATTTTGGATCTCTGCATTTTGATTGAGGTGGGTGGGGCTTTGGGATCAGTCTATAATGTAAGGCCATGTTGATTTGATTATATGGATGACATCCTATGGAAACCCCAAAACTGATGCGAGCGTGCAAATAAAAAAAATGTATGGCCCCCAAAAAAAGTTGCTACATGGTCATGAAGGTTGTTATGGTGAGTAATCTACTCTTCAAATTCATTTCTTTACATTTTCGTCTTTTTGGTTTGATTTTGGCGCTCAACAGCATTATCATTTTCCAATATTTTTTTTGGAACTTACGGTATCTATTTGCTCATTTTGCAACTATTTTGTACGATTTACAGTATGGTCGAAAACTTTTTTTCTTGGAAACGGCCGAAATATGATGCGCGCACGGATGTCATCCATATAATCAAATCGACATGGCCTAAGGGACCAAAAAGTGGTCACAATGGCCAGATGGTCACTTGAACAGGTTTGACTGTATACATGTGTATATACCCTATAGTACAACACTTACTGGCATAGGGTTTTTCTGGAAGACATCCTGTGTGAGAATGAAGAGGGGGTACTGGAAACAGCTGACTACCCCGCCTATGAACATGTCTGCACCAAACATCTTGCCAAAGTGGCGAGGTGGGTAACTGGTCCAGAGAAGGACAGAGACATTGTTAGTTCACCAAAGATTGTGTGCATGTAACCTTCACCAATAGAGCTCTATGTCAGGGCTCGAAATTCATTTTTGGGAATAGGTGCACTGGTGCACCCAACCTAAAAAATTAGGTGCACAAAAATTTTTTTGGGTGCACCACATAAAACAAATTAAACATAATTACAGATCTTACTGCTCCTCTTCTAAGCTTGAATCTGAAATGGGAGCTAACTTCAAAATCTTACACAAGAAGTACAAAAAAGATTTTAATATTTTTCTGACGCTTAGATGCCAAGAATATCCTGCATACTATTATTTAATATGTACAAAAATACCTACAAAAATATTTGGGTGCAAAAAGAATTGGGTGCACAGCTCCAATTTTGGGTGCACTAAGGTGCACATGCACCCAGCATTTCGAGCCCTGAATGTACTATTACAGTTGGGCCTAGGAAAAAAAGGTGTGTATCCTGTTTCAGTCCTGATAAAATTAGGGTCAGTAGGAATGGATTATCTTTTTTTCTCTCTCTCTTTTTTATTAGACTTTGGCAGTCTCTAGTGATTGAACTTATACAATACAGTTTAACAAGGTAAAACTTGCATGAGGACAATTATATTTTCAATTTCAATGTTGGTAAACCGATTGTACAATGTCTCGTGACTCATGATCACATGTCATATCATAGGGTGAGAAAAATTTTTATGTCCTTTGCAGGGGTCCACCCCATAAAAGCCTAGGGTCTGCAGTTTTTTCTAGGGTCGGTTGGGACACAGGAAACACAACTTTTTTTTTCCTAGGCCTTGTACAGTGTGTGGTGTAAATGTTATGGACAGCATTATGCAGCATGTTGGCAGAACGCACTGTGCCTGTGCAAAACCCGTAATTTACATGTATTATGCACAGCACTTCAGCAGAATGTCTCGTTCAAGGTCGCATTGGCGCATTTGAGAATACCAGTCTGTCTATAGTTTTAATATGTTGTACATGTGTCAGAAAAAATATTGTCTGTAACAGGCAAAAACTTAGAAGAATTTGCAGTTACAATACGTTCTGCCGATGAGCCTGACTTGAAAAAAACAAACACAAAACAAAGAGAATGTCTATTTCATGCCACAGTAATAGAAATGACAGTCAAACAGAAGTTCTTGACTACTATAAATTGACATGTTTTTTCAAACTACATTGTACTCTTAAAACTGCAAAATATAGATAAAACAAAGACAACTTGTAAAATCAAATAGATTAGTTTATGTGTTCCAATAAACAGTTTACAAGATACATTTTCTACTTCGAATGATGAAATAGAAAACAAACAGAATAAGCTGGTTCATGGTTCAAACTGTGCAGTGTCTTGTGATGCATTATGGGTAATATGTAAAAGTTGAAGTTTACACGTAACCTAAGGGCCTTCAATTTGATGTCATAAATGACAGTTCAAAATGTCAGTTCAAAACGTCTTTTTGAAAGTCAAACACATTTCAAAGATTAAGATAAGCACAAAAAATCAACTTACCCTACTGCAAAAAAAGTAGCGTTCCCGCCGTATAGAAAGGACCTAAGTACGACTTGTAGTATGAAGGATAGGTACTGGATGGGCAGGACGGGTATGACCACACATACGGAGAACAGCACACCCAGGAACGTGGTGAGACTGAAGGCGACCACACAGGAGCGAAGGTCCAAGCTCGCTTTGGTGTAGGCTGGCTCAACACCTGAAATACAGACAATGTGTTTAGTAGTGCTGTGTACCTAAACTAACATTTAGGTTCAGGTCCGGATTCAAGTCCAGAGGTTTAGGTGCAGTACCAGACTCGTAAGTCCGGACCTTAACCCACGGCATATACAATATTGGCAATCTTGCAATGTTGTCTGGCCAAAACTGGCCACTAGTGTTTAGCATATCTTCACAGAGGGAAAACAAGTTGTTTTTGCCCTGTTGCTTATTCGTCTTCAAACAAAAACTGGTCAACGACCTGGACCAAATGGCTATCACCATGGTAACTGGTGCTGCATGGTAACAGTCACCCTGTGCCTGTGGTGTTGAATTACTTTCCTGGTATGTGCTACCTAGCTTTTGCCCTAAGTAGCACACTGTGATGAGGATGTCGGCAGAACGTACTGCACCTGCGCGAAACTAGTAATGTATTGTGCATAGCACTTCGGCAGAATGTCTCATATAAGGTTGTATTCGCCCATATAAGGTTAGCATCCTGTCTGTGGTTTCAAAATGTTGTTTTGGAAAAGATATCGTCTGCAACAGGAAAAAATTCTGGCGTAACGTTGACCGAAAATCCAACGAAAACCGCGAAAATCCGGGGTTCTGCGCAGGCGCAGTACGTTCTGCCGACGTGCTCACACTGTGCTACCTGGCTCAAAGAAGTATTTCGAACACTGTCACGTACATGTATATTAGATGGCATCATCGCAATTGAACAAAACAAGATCACCTAAACTCTAAGTATTTCACAGATGTATGAGACCTTTGATTTCTTGTCTACATGTACCTTTCATTTGCAGTGGGCGACATGGCAATGAGATGCACTATATATGTACAACATGTAGCAACTGGATTCAAAAGATGTACATTTGAACAGAGATGATTCCTACCTGCTTGCTTATCCTGCATCATCTTCTTGGTGGCGTACTTGCGGTACGTGTCCATGATCAGTCCGTTCATGGGGGCGCAAAACACCCCAAACAGCTGCGTGAGGGCGAACGCTTCCGTGTAACTCTTGACTGGACATTCAGAATCGGAGGTAAAAAAACAAGGGCATAAGATTGGAGGAATCAGAACTTTTCCACATTGCAAGACTGTCCATGCTCTAACACTAGACAATAACAGTTTTCAAAGCACTGCATGCACAATTATAAAGCAATATCCAACACTACAAAAATGCTGACTGCGGCATTCCAAAACTTGAACTCAAAAACCTGCGAAGAGCCCCTGCAGTGCTGCTGCTAAGGGGTCCATTACTGAACTTGACCTTCCTTTTCCTTAACCTTACCCACCTACTCAATTTTATCATGATCCATCCACAGCATCTTGTTTATCCTGTTCCCAAACAAACTAACATAGACACAAAAGGTCTACTGTTAATGCAGCAACCTGCTATGTTAAAGACTCGAACTTGACCTTCATCTCCCCAACAGTAACTTGCTTACCAAAAAATAGTCCACAGTCACTCGAAAATACCCAAGCCAAAAATTTAACCTTCTGGCGTAATTAGCGTGGTCTTGCCAGGCTCACAACACTCTTACAGGAACCCAGAACTTCACACACCTACACAGCCGTTGTCCTCGGCTAGCTTGGTCATCCAAGGGTTAAACGTGCCCATAAAGAAGTAGTTTCTGAGCTGGATGACGGAGAACCAGAAGATGTGTGTGTAGAACATGCCAGACTTCAGACCCTTCATGAAGGTGGGGTAATACAGCTCAGGTGTGCTGATCTCTTCCTCATCCTCTTCTTCATCTATAGAGAAGAACAGGTTATCCTAGCTGTCTATCACAATTAGCAGTTCAACCAATCATAGCTTGGCAATTAGTGTTTCAACCAATGAGAGAGTGGCTGCATGTTTGTTAAACAGCTCACAACCTTCTTGGCTGAAAAACTGTCACCTGGCTTCAATGACATGTGAATTGAATTTTTCATCTCAAGTCCTGTCATTTTGCCTGTCAATCTTGAAGACTTACCTCCACCGGGATGCTGTCAACCTAATCTGTTCAGGCAAATACACAGATACATACAAACCCATAGCTCAGCCACCCAAAACAATACTTCTGTTTCTGGAAGTAAACATCCTTCCAAACACACTATAGAAATCATACGCAACACTCCTCTCACTTTGCTGTGCATTTCCGTTGGACATTAAGGCCTCCTGCTGCAGTTCCCCTGCCTCATGGTTGTGGTTCAGTTCAGATACATACAAACCCATAAAAGCTCAGCCACCCAAAACAATACTTCTGTTTCCGGCAGTAAATATCCTTTCAAACACAGTATCGAAATCATACGCAACACTCTTCTCACTTTGCTGTGCATTTCCGTTGGACATTAAGGCCTCCTGCTGCAGTTCCCCTGCCTCATGGTTGTGGTTCAGTTCAACATCAGCACCAGGTGGTCTCCTGCTGGTGTTTTTGCCCCTGCAGATGCCATAGTTGTAGTCTGGTGGGACGGGCCAGGGGAACTGTTTGGACGGCAGCAGGAAGAGGGAACGTAACAGCAACAACGAGGCGGCCACAGCGTAGAAGAGGAAAATGGCCTTGAAGCTCACCCCGCCCTCGTAGATTTTCTGTCAAAAAAAAATTGCAACTGTTATACTGTTTGTTGTGATATTGTTGAGTGTTAGAGAAGTCAATGGTTGTAGTGGAATCATATTGAAGCTGGTAAAGTGTAAATTCTGAAATGTTCATGGTGGCTTACAGATATGTTTGCAGTGAACTCTACAATGCAAATTCATGACACAGTGAATAAATGCATTACTACAGTGCTATAGTAATGTCTGAAGCGTATAACACTGAAAACCTCCTTTCTACACTCAATCTGTGAATAGTTTCATCAGGTTGGTAAGTCAATCAATCAATCAATCAGTCACTGAGTAAAGAGACTCTTTTACACAACCAAGTCTTTTTACACAACCAAGTCTTTTTACACAACCAAGTCTTCTATTCTGCCAACATTTCTCCTTCTACCATGTGAAAATACATTCTACATTCTAATATGACTTTAGTGACATCTTAGGGAAAACAGGTGCATTAAGTGTAAGGATCCATGTGGGAAGTAGAGAAAAAAGAAATTTGTGAAACTTGCTTCCGCAAGATCGGAATGATACTATGATTGGCATGAGGTCACCGTTACTGTCATGACTCATGTTTTGAAATGTCAACTGAAAGGAAGAGAGATGAATTTTACAATGTTGTAATTAGACAAATTATATTGTTACAGAAGGTAAACACAAAAAATTAAGAACATTATACAGTAAATCAATCATTGGATTAAAAATAATATAGAATGAACATAAATTAAGTCATGTAGCTACATGATGTACATGTACATGGTTAGCCTGGAGTCCAGCCTTGTTATATTGTAACTGTGGTCCGTTTAGCACTGGACATTTACAGTTCAAATGGTGAACCAGCTTATTCTCTGGCCCAAGTACCAGTACAGTCACTGTACTTACCAGAACGACAAGGAACACAAAGGAAGAAGAGTCGAAGGCTCCATTCACCAACGTGATGACAGTCGACCGCTTGTCTCCAAACAGGTTTCCAATCTGTGTGTGAAAACAGGAAAATTCTGTTTTAACACAGTTTGCACTGTAGTAAGTAATGAACATATAGAAAGACTCTATACTTTACACTCAGTAGAACATGCACAGCATTGAGAAAATTCATGACTACACATACATGTGTACATGACAATATTTTGTGTATATATTTGTTTATGTATTGTATTTTTGTCTGATGCTGAGCCCTGGAAGATTAGCCCCTCATGGGGCCAAAGGGTATTTAATAAACCAACATGTATAGCACTGCACAAAGCTTATTTCCACGCTGAGAAGGTAACAAAGAAGCTCCTTGCTGCCCTAAGTTTTTTCCTGTCTATTCTTGGATGTTGTCGGCCCATATTTTCTTCTGCCTTCCCCTTTTTCTTGCTCCTTTTACAGTAACTGTTCCTTGAAGGATTGTTTTCGACAGTCCATTTGATCTCATTACATGTCCGTACCACTGAAGGTTTCTTCTCTTCACAACTGTCAGGAGTTTTTCATACTGACAGTGCTGTTTTACACTGTTTTTTTTAATGATTTCTTTGTTTGTAACACGGTCCAGGTATGTTATCCCTAGAATTTTTCTAAGGCACTTCATTTCTACTGACTGTATCCTTCTTTGGAGCTCAGCATTTAGTGTCCATGATTCACAGGAGTACAGAAAACCTACTAACACACTACATGCATGTGTAACACTTTATTATAATATTCAAATTTGGACTATCGTGCCTCTGTCTGGTTGCTACACACTTTTGTTTGCATTTTGCAACTATACATGTACCGGTACCATGGGAGGTACATGTACATTGTATTTTGCAAAGTATATTGCAACCTGACTGCCCTAGGAATTTAGCCCCAACTTATGAGCAAACTTTTAGCATGCTGTGCATGTCTTATAATGCAATACGTTGTACTTCTAAACCTTAATATGCCTGTACAAGTAAAGTCTAGGTCAAACTTCCCACTTCTTAGAAGTTTGACACACCCTTACAGGCATAAGGTCATTGACCTTTCCCAGGTGTGTTCTTAAGGTATTCTGTAAGGAGGTCAGTTTGGCTTCAATATTGACCATAAAGAGAAGAGGCACACACCTGTGCAAACATGCCTTATGTACCAAGCCCCCTACTCAGGGTCCACCAACTAGATTTGTGTCTGGGATATATCTTAGACTGTGTAGTTAACAAGGCCTTGGAAAGAATGTTTTATTTTGGATATTAGTTTAAAGAATATGGTTAATACATGTACATGTAGGTAGGATCTCTGTTTCTTCTCCAGATATTGGTTAAAGCAATCCAGTAAAATACAGTTTAATAGTGTAAAACTGAAATGCATCAGAACCAGGGCTGTACCCGGGACCTGTCCCTGTTTGTATCTGTATAATTCTGTATCTGTATGGCCAGTATACAATGTAACTGCCCTTCAGCATAACATACCACCCTTGAAGGCACATGACGCTGTGACAGCTGGCTATATTACACCAAATGACCTGTCACACCTTTGCACATCTACATGTAACTGCATTGTTTAAAGCTACCGGTATCTGGTGATGGCGTCCCTACTGTACTTGGTGGCAACACGTTCTACTCTAGGAGACTAGGACAGTTCTAGGAAAATTTTTTATCCTGTATACTATTATACATTTAAAATGTACAAAAATACCTCCAAGATAGTTGGGTGCACTGGTGCACCCACAAAACAAAATTGGATGCACAGCTACAATTTTGGGTGCACTAAGGTGCACATGCACCCAGTATTTCCAACCCTGAAATGTAAACGTCTATTTAGTCCCACAGCGCAACGGGTAAGTATGATTGATGGGCGTTTAGTTTATTTGATAAGGTTTAGGCAGCAGGGAAAGGGTTAAATCCAAAACTATTTTTTGAGAGAAAATTTGTGTGACTTCTAAGATTTCTAAGACTGTAAAATCATTAGAAGGTTGAAGTATAGAGCACAAGATAGCCTAGTATGATTACTTCCTTCTGAAATACAGTGTGGTGTGTTAAAAGCACCCCCTATTTCATCCAATGTGAATTACAGGTACACTACTTCAAAAGTGGGCTAACTTCGAATTCATTGGCTGGACACAATCAACCTGCTGTTGTTCACTTCTAATACGCTAGGTGGGGCTTTTTACCTGCATGTTGGTGATGAGCAGGTATCCTCCAGACACAGCCATGATGCACATGGAGGCAAACAACACCTCAGATGACGCTGAAAAAATACATATTGGTGGTTCTGTAACAGTGTTGTTGTGCTACCAAATGGTCATACTGTAAGGCCACACCAATTTAATTTGTTGGTTCTTGGATTTTTTCACAAAAAATATGAAGCGACTGGGCGAAAAAATAGAAAATAAACACAGGTGTAAGCATCCTATTATATAGCCCCAAATGCTACGATAGGAGCCATGATGTCAACACAAAACCACAAAAGGCTGGTTTAATATTTTAACAGTGAATTCTGAACTTCTAATCAAACCACTGCATTCATAGATGTAGCAACTAGGGAGAAAAGGACTTTCCTTAACTGTTGGGGGCAAAAAATGAGCATTTTTGAGGTGATTCAGAACCAATTTTTTTTCTGCAAATCAGAAAAAAATGAAGAGGCCAATCCGAGAACCAACAAATTAAATTGGTATGGCCTAAACCTTGACATGTTAGCAGTGATTTAGGTTTCACAGTTTTTGCAGTAACTTCTCTACTGCGAATTCATGACATCGTAAATATGCATTACTATCGTACTGTACTACAGAATTGTTTCAACTGCAAATTCAAAACACTGAAAACTTCCTGTACCCTTCTACCCTGAAATAAGGTGCCTGTGAAAATAAATGAATTAACAGTATCTAGTGAATACTTATTGTTGACTATGTTTAACTCTAAAATTTTTGTTGTTCAGGGCTCGAAATTCATTTTTGGGAATAGGTGCACTGGTGCACCGGTGACCTAAAAAAATTAGGTGCACAAAAAAATTGTTGGGTGCACCATATGAAAACCTAATTACAGATCTTACTGCTCCTCTTCTAAGATTGAATCTGAAATGTGAGCTTAAATACTACAATAAAGATTTTATAATTTTTCTGACACTTAGATGCCAAGAATATCCTGTATACTAATATACATTTGATGTACAAAAATGCCTGCAAAAATATTTGAGTGCACTGGTGCACCCACAAAAAAATTGGGTGCACAGCTCCAAATTTGGGTGCACTAAGGTGTACATGTACCCAGTATTTCGAGCCCTGTTGTTGTTTGTTTTTGTTCTTACCAACTGTTGTGAAGGCTGTCATCAGCATGGCGATGGCGTATGTAAAACTGTGGGATGGACACAAGATAAGACACCAATTCAATATAAACTTGAAAAAATTGTGAGGTAAAAAGATTGTAACAAACTACAAAGGTCTGACACTACATTGTTAAAGAAGAACCTCCCCAAAAACAAAATGAAATCAAAGATTTCAGATTTCTGGGAAATATTTTGGGTTTTTGTGACCTTCAAGTTTATTGACCTCCCTATCAATCAACTGCCCAAATCACCTCCCGACAACCATGCAACGGAAGCTATTTAACTTAACTTTTCTCCCTATTGTCCCAGCACTGTCCCAAAAATAAATTTCAATTGTCCTGAAGTGAGGATGAAGTGTCCCAACCTATTTTTTGGGGCAGTATTCTGTGACGTCAACTTGAGTCAACTTTATTTTGCTTATGTTCACTCCCAGGCGCACTATAATTGCAGAGTAGACGGGAAATTCAGGGGGATTTTTCCAGATCCAAAAGCCGAGACATGTGCCTGATAAACAAAAGAAGGGCTGACATTCTGATGTTGTTTATTTTTCTATTGTCCCAAAAATGTTCCATAGTGTCTTTTTAGTTGCCCCAGCCTAAATTTTTATGGTCAGTGGCCATTGGACCACCTTTAATTTCAAGCCCTGGGACAGACAGGCCTTACCTTGCCACTATCCTGGTCTTCCTGGTACCAAACTTGTCGTACAGGATACCGTTGGGAAGCGCCATGAAGCTGAGACACGCGCTGGCTATCGTGAAGACCAGCGACAATTGTTCATCCTGATACGTGCATACGCTTACTGGTGCGCTACAGGAGTCTACGTCAGATGCATTCGAACCGCTCGTAGGCGAAACCGTCGTGAATTGCGTTTCGTTTGAAAAAATGACTGGTGTTGCCGCCGTGCCAATGCTACTGTTAGAGAAGCCGTTTTCTTGTCCGTTGACGGAGGGAGGGCAGCTGAAAAATTTTTCGCCCTTAAGTACGATGACAAGAGAGGCCCAGCCGAATATGAGTCCACCAAACAGAAGGCACTCCAGTACACCCGTCACGAACGTTGTCCATTTCTTCACAGGTGGAACTTGCGACATCTTTGCTGAAACGGAAAAAGGCATGTTGAAATTAAGAGAGGCCACATGTGCAAGCAAGTGCAGCATATTTCACTCCATTTCACTCCCCATGTAAAAATGGAGTGTTTCATCTCAACATGTTAAAATTAAGAGAGGCCACATGTGCAAGCAAGTATAGCATATTTCACTCCATTTCACTCCCCAAGTAAAAATGGAGTGTTTCATCTCAACATGTTAAAATTAAGATAGGCCACATTTGCAAGCAAGTACAGCATATTTCACTCCATTTTAATCCCCATGTAAAAATGAAGTGTTTCATCTCAACATTAAAAACTTAAAATACAAAACATTCCACTAAAATTTTTGATATCACAGTAGTCTGACTACGTGGCTTAAACAAGTAAGTTAAATTTTAAAGTAGCCATTCCACTGGTCTGGCCCCAAGGAGAGGAGGCATGTTTAGCCAGCACATCGGCAGAACGTACTGCACCTGTGCAAGACGCAGATTTTTCGCGGTTTTCGTTGGATGTTTGGTCAACGTTGCATCAGAGTTTTGCTTATTGCAGATTTTTTCTGACACAAAATTTGAAACTTATAGACGGGATGTCATCCTTTTATATTTAGGTAAGTCCATTTTCTTCCTAGTTGTTACAGCTTTTCCAATCAATGCAGTGGTTTGATTAAAAGTTCAAAATTCATTGTTTAAATATTAACCCAGCCTTTTGTGTTGACTTTATGGCTCCTATCGTAGCATTTGGGGTTATAATAGGATGCCTAGACCGGTTTTTATTTTTTTCGCCCTGTCGTTTCATATTTTTTTCTGAAAATATCCAAGAACCAACAAATTAAATTGGTGTGGCCTAACAGTGAGAGATTATGTAATTAAACAAAGGCTAAATATCACAGCTGTTTCCAATGTGATTAGTCAGAGTTGCTGCCACATTTGAAATTAGCCCAATTAACAGTATGGTAGATAATGGGAAAAGGATAGTGCCATTGACGTCAGGCAGTTTCTCACATGTCAGTTTTAATTATGACAGTCATTATTACATACAGAGGATTTACTTGATATGTTTGCGGTGGTTTTGTTTTTGCAGCAGGGCTCGAAATTCATTTTTGGGAATAGGTGCACTGGTTCACCCAACCTAAAAAATTAGGTGCACAAAATTTTTTTGGGTGCACCATACATGTATAAAACAAAACCTTATTGCAGGTCTTACTGGTCCTCTTCTGAGCTTGAATCTAAAATGAGAGCTAACTTCAAAATCTTAAACAAGTACTACAACAAAGATTTTATTATTTTTCTGATACTCAAGAGACCAAGAATATCTGGTATACTATTATACATGTACATTTAATTTTTAAAATTCCTCCAAAAATATTTGGGTACACCAGTGCACCTACAGAAAACAATTAGGTGCACAACTCCAATTTTGGGTGCACTAAGGTGCACATGCACCCAGTATTTTGAGTCCTGTGCAGTAACGACTCCACTCCGAATTTGTGACACAACGAATATGTGTTGCTGATGTACATGTATTCCTATCACAGAATTGTTTTCATGGTCAACAGAAAACACTGGGAAAACGTTTTTTCCCCTTTTACCGCAAAAATAAATGAATTTAACCCTTGTCCTGCGGAGCCCAACAATTGTTGTTTTGCATATACAGTACCATCTACATATCACCCTGTACAGGTACAATTTGGGGGTATTTCTTGTGTAACGCTTCACACCGCAGCGAAACGTAACGAATGCGGAAGTAACTACGTCTTTGAAACCTGAATTGTAACATTATTAAACTACCAGTTATAATGTTAGAAAAAAAAAAGCTACCTATCATAGTTTACCTGTTCTCTTGGCTGCTCTAAACACACAGCTTGCAATCAATTTTTCACTCCTTATTCCAAAAGTGGACAGCTGTTACTGTAGGTGTGCAGGTTAGTCAGCTGGACAGGAAAGGTGCACCGAACCTCAAGGGACAAAACTGGAGGTGCCTGAAAAACAGGGTAATTACACGTATGAGTTAACAATTGAAGTTATAGTCTCCGAAGAATAGGAGACTTGTGTACCTGTGCCAGTGCTCCAAATTCAGTTTTGGGAAAGAAAATGGGGTGCACAACATTAAAACAGGGCTCGAAACAATTTTTTTCAGGTATACGTACTTGCAAAATTGCACATTGGCAAAAATTTTGGTGCAATACAAAAAATTATGTTCAAAATCACATTTATGTCGGTGAAGGTTAGACATCAAGGTAAATACACAAAAAACAGTGACTCAAGCAACTGGATATGACTTTGGAAATGGTCAGACGTTTCAGCTAGTATCTACTAGCTTTCGTCAGTGACTGAGAGACCAGATCTAGGAGAAATGCAGGTTTATAAGCACAAACTATTGATTGATATGCAAATAAGAGAAGACAATTTAGACAAGTCAAGATAAGATGATGCAAATTAAAGTAAGTCTCCAAAGGATAAGAGACCTGTCAGTGTGTACCTGTGCCAGCACTCCAAATTCAGTTTTGGGAAAGAAATGGGGTGAACAACATTAAAATAAAATAGAATGTCAGCTAGCAAAACCTATCATTCAGGTTTCTTCAGAGTTTGCATTTGAAATATACAATGTAGCTTACTTAAACAAGTAATTCAAAGATGTAAGATTTTGCAATTTTATAAAATAAGATTTTTCTGATGCTTAAAAATGTCAAGAATATGCTAAGTGTACAATACTGAATTATACATTTACAGACGTAAACCTACACAAATACATGTACATGTATCCACAGTCAAAACTTACATGTAGGTGCATTATACAAATTTGGGTACACAAAAGTATGCACCCAGTATTTCAAGATGCTTATAGATATCAGTGGTAAACCCCCCACGTGTATATGTAGCACAAAGACCTTTTGATGTATTGCCCTTTTATAACTTATATAAGTGACTAATCTGTGTACGTGTGCATACATGTTGGCAGTGCGCATGCTAACATTACTGTTATCACATAGCTACTCGACACGATACCTCCAACAAGTGCACTTGGAGGATAGGGTAAGATTGTCTACGTGTCTGGCCTGTTATATATACGCATGGCAATCAGTATAATTTAAATGCATCATAAATGTTAACAAGATATAAACAATGTCTTAAATAAGTACCAAATTAGTGCAAGTTGTTTTAAAACTTTTTGACCCCAACAGAAAATGTGAATATAATATTTGATATTAGTGTATAATATTACTGTAATAGCACAGTTTAAAAGAGTTGTTTGTATTAAGTTGGGAATTTTTGGTGTAACACACCACGGCCAGCTTCATAGGCCCCCAGCACAGCGGCAACTGACCACATTACACTTTATACCATACCTGGGCCACGATAACGGGTTCCGAACTGGTCCGTACTTTACGATTCGAATGTGTTTTGCCCTAACCGTGTGCGCCGCTTTCGAAAATTCGAATACAGCATCCGGATGTTGGAATTGATGTTGTTGCATTTCAGGGTTTAGTGGCACCAACTTTTCGCTCATTTCGCATTGAAAGGCGTGTTTTCTTGGGTGGGTATGACATACATAAAATACAACACGGTGTATTCTGCATCACCCTCGGTCCCAGCCCTCCCGCGGGTCGGATCTCCCTCCGGCCTTCGGGCGATCCGACCCGCGGTCGGGCTGGTACCTCGGGCGATACAGAATACCCCGTGTTGTATTCTATATGAACAATCTGGTGATGTTTTATACTTAACCTTTGCACATGTGTATCTAACTGTAAGTGTTGTTAAAGCTTATACAAATGTACATCTAGTGATGATGCCTCTACTGTACTTGGTGGCAGCAAGTCCACTCTACAATAGTTCTAGGAAAAACAAGGTTTTGAACACCTTTAATACTTGCTTGATAACTCTGGTACTTGAAGGCATGACTATTCCTGTTTCTTTTCAGTTTTCTAGGCTGGTATTTTTGGTACGTCAACCACTTTAATGTCAGTCATTTTGTATGTCATGCACATATAGTCTGGACATTTTTCTTAGAATCCCTTCGTCCACTGCTCTCATTTCAGGGACACTAGCACCCGATTTGCAGACACATGAGTAGTTTGTTTACGATCAGTATTTTTGGTTGACCTTCACCTCAAATAAATGCTGTCAAATAGTTGCATATCATAGTGTTGAGAGATTTCGCGAAAAAACCCTTTCTATGTTACCATATACTAGTGCTGTGTACCTAAACCCACATTAAAGTTCAGGTCCGGATTCAAGTCCAGAGGTTTAGGTTCACTTCTGGACTTGTAAGTCCGGACCTAAACCCATGGCATATACAAAATTGCATGTTGGCAACCTTACAATGTTGTCTGGGTGAAACTTTGGCCACATAATATGGAGGCCGATACTTGATGAATGCCCAATGGCAATGTTTCCTTCATTTTGAAGCAAAGATTTTGCAATCTGCGGAAGGTTTTAGGTGGTTTGGAAAGAAAAGGGGTATGCGAAATGGTCTTTTATGGTAATAAGTCCTCGGTTCTTGACTTTTAGGTTTTTTTGGACTTGAACCTAAACATTCTTACAAGTCCGGATCCAAGTCCAGTGAACCGGTATGCAGCACTACCATATACTGTGTTAGAAATGTAACCAAAGTTCTTCACCATACTAACATTCTGACAGGCCATATGTCACTGTCACTTACAAAGACTCTACAATGTAAGTTACATGTACTCTAACACGTTTTAAAATTTCACCCATATGAAACTGTGTGCACATCCTTCTTAAAATAGCTCACAGGAAATTGGTAGAATTTTGCACAAGTTTAAACTTGAATCAAGGCCACTTGGCTCCAACTAGCGGTCGCCACAACGCTCCTTAAAAGCTTCATGAAAAAGCAAGAAATGAAAATCAAACTGTTGACACTTGATGTGGTACTGTCACTTTTTGTCAATTCAAATTATAGTATACCTGATTTTTTTCTTATTACATCTTTCCCAGACATACATAATACAACCTATATAAATATTGGCAAGGTGGTCTTGTGGGTTA